TCAAGTATTCTGATACCTCCAGCATTGCTCTTCTCATTCAGGATTGCTTTGGCTTTTCTGGGTCTTTTGTACTTCCGAATGAATTTTAGAATTTTTTTTATAGCTTTGTAAAAAATATCATTGGTATTTTGATGGGAATTGTATTGAATCTGTATAACATTTTTTTGTAGTATAGGCATTGTGACAATATTATTCTACCTATCCAGGAACATGGAAATTTTTCATCTTCTAAGATCTTCTTCCATTTCTTTCTTCATTGTTCTAGCTTTCATTGCAGAGATCTTTAACCTCTTTGGTTTGATTTATTCCCAAGTATTTTTTGTTTTGAGGTTATTGTGAATGAGATAGTTTTCCTGATTTCTTTCTTTGCATTACTGGAATATAGTAAAGCTATTGATTTATATATGTTGATCTTGTATCCTGCTACTTTGCTGAATTTATTTATAAACTCTAGAAGTGTTCTGGTAGAGTTTTTTTTGTGTCTCTAGATAAGGTATCATATCATAAGCAAATAGATAATTTGACTTCTTCTTTTCCTATTTGTATTCCTTTAATTTCCTTCTCTTGTCTGATTGCTCTGGTAGAGTTTCAAGAACTATAATGAATAGGAGCAGTGAGAACGACATCCTTGTCTTGTTCCTGACTTTAGAGGAAATGCTTTTTGTTTTTCTCCATTCAAAGGATGTTGTCATTGAATTTGTCATATAGAGCCTTTATAATAAAGAGGTAAATTCCTTCTATCTCTAGTTTCTCTAGTGTCAAAACATGAATGGATACTGGATTGTGTCAAAGGCTTTTTCCACACCCATTGAGATGATCACATGATTCTTGTTCTTAATTCTGTTTATTTGGTGAATTACATTTTTTGATTTGTGTATGTTGAATCAACATTGCATCCCTAGGATGCAATCATTTGATTGTGGTATACTACCTTCTTACTGGTGTTTTTTGTTTTGTCTTGTTTTGGGTACTGAGGATTGAACCCAGGGGCGCTCATATCCCAGCCCTTTTTTTTTAAATTTTCTTTGAGACAGAGTCTCATTAAATTGCTAGGGGCCTTGCTAAATTGCTGAATTTGCAATTCTCCTGCCTCAGCCTCCCAAGTAGTTGGGATTACATGTGTGTGTCACCACACCCAGCCTTTCTGTTTTTTAATATGGTTTGTTAGTATTTCTTAAGGACTTCTGATCTGTGTTCATCAGAAATATTGGTCTGTAGTTTTTTTTGCATGATGTGTGTTTGTTTCATTTGGGTATTAGTGTGATATTGGCTTCATAGAATGAATTTGGGAGTGTTCCTTCTATTTCTATTTTGTAGAATAATTTGAAGAGAATTGACATTAGTTCTTTAAGGATCTGGTAGAACTTGGATGAGAATCTATCTGATCTTGGGCTTTTCTTTGTTGGAAGGCTTTTAATTTCTGCTTCAGTCTCATTGCTTGATAGAGAAACTGTGGAATGAAACTGACCAAACTCTCCTGTGTATGAATATACCACAGTGAATTTCACCTTTATGTATATCTATAATACAGTAATTTTTTAAAATCTATAAATATATAGAAGAAAGAACAGCTAAATAGAGAAAAGGGAAAAGGAGGAAGGAAGGGAAAGGGGATATAACTGAGAACTGAACTAGAGCAAATCATATCCAGGTACTATGATTATATCAAAATGGACCTCAATATTATGTATATAATCCCACTATTATATATTATGTATAACTTTAACATGCTAATAAAAATTCTTTTTAAAAAGAGTCAGTTATGGGGTTAGGGTTGTGGCTCAGTGGTACAGCACTCGCCTAGCACGTGCGAGGACCTGGGTTCAATCCTCAGCACCACATAAAAATAAATAAATAAAATAAACGTGTTGTGTCCAACTACAACTAAAAAATAAAAACATAAAAGAGTCAGTTACTTAAGGAAGTCTTTCCTGACTTCCTGGACTTTTTCAGTCTAGGTCGATTTCCTTTGTTAAATACTTTTCTCCTGAAATATTTTCTTTTCTTTTATTTGGAGGGGGTACCAGGGATTGAACTCAAGGGTACTTGATCATTGAGCCACATCCCTAGCCCCATTTTGTGTTTTATTTAGAGTCAGGTCCCACTGAGTTCCTTAGCACCTTGCTTTTGCTGAGGCTGGCTTTGGATTCGGAATCCTCTTGCCTCAGCCTCCTGAATTTCTGGGATTACAGATGCTTGGACAGAAATAGTTTCTTAATATGTATTTTAAATTCATCTGTATCATTATTGGATTGATGCATGAGTCCCTCAGTGTTCTGGAGGTTACATAATAGATCATCTTACTTCCCTTGAATATACATTGAGGCACAGTAACTGGAACATAGAGTATACTCCATAAATATGGAATGGATGGCTGGGTAGATATATGGATAGAAGGTTGGTATGAAGAATGAATTAGAATGAGTGCAGTGGGAAGGGATGGCTGGAGAAGTGGGAATGAATTGTGGCCAAATAACAAGCCAAGAGCAATTTTTAGTGCTTTATATTGGTAAAAGCACTTTGTAAAACTGCATAAATTTCGTCACCTCTCAGTTTTGTTATTTTCACATTATAGAAAACATATATTTCTCTGTTGGTGGCAGTGTACTTACATAAGGCCTTATTCCAGTAAAGGGTGGGAGATAAAATTATTTTGAGCATTTGAAAGCATTTATGTAACTTGAATCTCATGTTATGGTTTTGAAAATATGCTCTTATTTCTCATAAGTGGTTGTATTTTTAATTTACACTTTCCCAGAATCTTTTCCCCTCAGAGGTGTCAGTGCTAGAAAATTATCAAATTGTGATAATTTTATGATATTATAATTTCATATCAACATGTCAGTCAAGAATAGAAAAATGGGCACTGTGAATGAAACAGTGACTAATATTTTGTCTTTAGCCACAACACTTGTAGAGTAACTGAAACAGTGGCAAATCCAGATAGTATAATAGACCAAATGTGTATATCTGAGCTAGCATCAGGAGTGGAAGTTTTTTAAGTGGGAAAAGGTTTGGGTCTAAGTGTGTGTGTGTGTGTGTGTGTGTGTGTGTGTGTGTGTGTGTGTCTGTGCGTGTGTATACACACACATACATATACACACACACGCACATACATATATATATATATTTTAGAGAGAGAGAGAGAGAGAGAGACTTTTTTT